GAGAGATCTATGTGCTTAAAATGACCTGGATGAGACACAACCAATGAATCTGGATCGATATTTTCAGTATTGTAGTATATGTTCCTTCCTCCCATTTTCAGAGAATAATCATCACGAAGAAAGCAAGGACAAGTTTAAGGGAAGTTTCCATCTCAGCCCGAGCTCATATGAGCTCGTCATGAACAGTAAAAAAATCAATTTTTTTCTAAAAATATGTGAAAACATTGAGAAATGTTTTGAATGTTTGCAAAGTTTTATCTTGAAATAACATTTGTGCAAGTAATGGCAAAGAAGAATAGCATTTTTGGAGCATTTTTGGATAATAGCATTTTTGGAGCATCGTTTCTTTTGCCACGACTTTCACGAATGTCATTTTATGATGAAATTTTGCAAGCAATCAAAACTTTTGTTAATGCTTGCCACAAATAAAAAACCAGAATTTTTTTGATTTTTTTCTTCAGATTTTACTGTTCACCCGAGCTCGTATGACCTCGAGCTGCCTCGTTTCTGGTGGCCCTAGGAGAAAGAAAAAAAATCTTAGGATTTCTCCGCCTCTCGTTAGTGCCGCCTCGTCTCCGATGGCCCTAGGACCATGTAGGCACGATGGACCCTGGCCCTTGCTGGCAGGAGGGATATTGCTTCGTTTTTCGGTGTTTTTATGAGTTCGTTTAGGATTTGTGACCTGCTCAGGAAGACAAGGCGATGATGGCTCTCTGAAGGTGAAATAAGGTTCTCCACGCCTAGCACCCATTTCAATGATAAACCTAGTGTCATCGGAGGGCGTGTGAAAGTGTGTCTCCGGCTGATCTCGTGGGATTCAATCGGTGTTGTTCTTCGGTGGATCTGCTTCGGTTGTTGTTTTCGCTGGTCGTGTGGCCTTAGCATAACGACTTTTTGACTGTCTACCAGAACAAATTAGGAGGGGCGATAACGGCGGCACATCTTTCGCTTGCTCCAGTGTTTCTATTCGTCGGGTGGTATACGGATATGGATATAATTTTGATTATTTCAGTGTTGTTTGTACTGTCATGACATGATGAATAGATGGAAAGTTTCCTCAGAAAAGTGTTTTAGTGCTTACTTAAAATTCCCCTTACAAAAGAGTGCATGTCTAAAATTGGTATCTCCATTGCTAAAAAGCCAAAAGAAGAACGTGGACTGGTGCTAGTGTCCCATTTCTTCTCAGATTCGTTGGACCTCACGCGTCCTCCATCCCTTCCCTACCCTCAACGTCTCGCCGCCGACGCCGCCCAGCTCTTCCAGCCGAGGGATTTCCGCCGCGCCGGTACCGCCCCGGGCCCCTCCGTCGCGGGCGCCTCCCCATCTCGTGCCTCCCCCGCCGCTCCTCCCCACCACACGCGAGGGGGGCGGCGCCGCTGCCCCGCCCTGTCCCCCATCTTCTCCGCGTGGATCCGCCTCCGAGGTAACCCCTCCCATGGATTATCTGGCCGCGCAATCCTTCCGTTAAACATATTGATCATGTCCATTTCTTGAGGCAAAATAGCCATGCGCAACCACCTCCCCTGAAAAAATTCACATCAGTTCGAAAGGCGATTAAGCGGTAGATACGATCCAGCCCAGCATTTAACACTGTTTTCTTCTGATCTCTACCAAAGGACGAGGCTTATGCTTGTAGTGTGTACGATGTTGAGCACCTTACATGTTGCAGTATTTCAGATGCATAGATAGATTCTTCGATGCTAACTAGGCCTATACTGTTATGCTTGGCTTGAATATCTCTAGTTTGTATTTTTGCTGTTGGGTGCTAGTTTGTCTTATCTGCATTAGCCTGGATAACTATTTCGCAAGACACAGGCCCAGATGCTATGTATTAGTGTGGGTAGCTATTTCTCAAGCTACATACAGTCCTAAGTAATTATGTCACCTAGTTAGTGTTGGTGTAGTCTACCGTAGTTGACATCTTTTGGTGTAACATATCTGCAGTGTTACTGTGTTGTTATGAATGATACCTCGCTGCTCTGTTGCCCTGACATTTCTGCTTGTTTGGGTAATCACAGTGATGAGGAAAATCAATCATCGATGGAAATGTATACAAGTACACGGGGCATCATTACATCTGCATTTGGCCTTACACTTCATTTCTGAAACTTTGAACTTCTATCCACACACTTACCCCTTTTGCTTGCTAAAGTGCTAGATCTGGATTTCTCGACAACCTTCTGTTCAGACCATGGCATATGGTGCTCTCATAAGGTAGCTAGGAAAGTGTCTCATACTTGAGTTTTTCTCATGTAGTTGTCAATCAGCACCTGTGTTTCTGCATCACCTGTAGTTATAATATGCTTTTCTTTGACACTTGAGCATCTTTTCGTTTTATAGTTGTGCATTTACTAGTCTAAAAACCTTGTCTCAACTTGCCCTCCAATCTTGGTTATATTAGAAATTAACTTCATTAGGATATGAAACCGCAGACAAGTTGGTGAGAGTGTTAGTACAATGCATCGTTATGGGTTTATTGATTGTGTATATGTATATAGTTGAAGGCTCAATAGCTAGCAACCATGATAGTAGCTAGTTATTTCTATGAGCAGGCTAAATTCGCATCACCTTAATCTCCTTTAATATAAATTGGGTCAAGTAGGCTTCAGGCATGAAGGCTTCTTGTTCAATGATAAGACATATTTAGAGCAATTAATCACTTGATGGTTTTGTGAGATGAGGCTACCGTTATTGCTTGTTGAATAATTTGTACTCCCTCCGTAAAGAAATATAAGAGCGTTTAGATCACTAAAGTAGTAATCTAAACGCTCTTATATTTCTTTACAGAGGGAGTAGTTGGTGTGGGTTGTTTTGTTGCGTTTATACGAATGGCTTGATCTTCTGCTAGGTGCTCATAATGTTGGTTGTCCGAATATATTGGGACAAAATTGTTTGTTTGTTCTGGTAGATGTCTCAGTCCAAATATGTGTCACTTCAATGGTTTGATCTGCTAACGTGTGCTGTTTCTTTATCCTGGTAGATGCTTCAGTCCAAATATTTGTCACGTATTATGTGCTTTTTTTTAGGGGGGACACATACGATATGCTTGCAATTGAACTTCTGTGTATGTCCCCAGGACTGAGGCTTATACCTTCATGGAAACCTTGACAAGTGTTTTGAGTTGTGATCATGCCCCCAATGTGAAGTCATACCTTCATCCACTTGATTAAGAAGGTCACTGGTTATAGCATTTCCCCATTTTTTTAACAGACTTAGAAAATGATTTTGTACTTCACACTTTAACAGGTCAGGGGACAGACTTGAGAGCCGTTTTTCAAATATTGATGATTGATATATTAATAACAACTAAAATGATGAGTACAACAACTGGTCGTGTTACTGCTAATCTTTTGTTTGCACGGAACTTATAAATTTTAATAATTTGCTAAAATGTTATATACTACAAGATATAATATCACGTGCTTATTTTTACCTCTTTTCTTACATGCCAACAGGTTTCTACAATCATAAGCTGTTCTACTTTTATATGGATTTTTCCTAAACATCAATAAAGGATGAGATTGAGGAGCATAAATGGACTGCGGTGCAAGCAGCTTAAACTCGTCCTTCTTGCTTTCTTCGTGATGTTTATTCTCTGGAAATGGGAGGAAGGAACATACTACAATACTAAAGATATTCATCCAGATTCATTGGTTGTGTCCCATCCAGGTCATTTAGCATATAGACATATTTCTCTTTCTTTTTTTGCATTATGCTTATCTTTATCTCATTTTTGTTCGAATTTCTGTAGCTAACTCAAAGTTTGTAGATCAGCATACATCCTCAGATGAAGACTTCCCAAGTGTAGATTCGTTGCCACCGCCAGTAGTTAAAGTACAAAAACAAGTTACCGGCGCACCACCACCACTGCCCATTGTCGGTGTTCCTGCTAATGTGGGAGGTGAACAGGGGGCATCATCTTCTGAGCCGAAAGGTAATTACTTATCTTCTATGACCGTAGGAGGAACCATGGATTCTTTCTTGAGAATGCTAGTATGCATTTCTTCAGCGTCACCTTTTGGTTATGTCTAGAATACTGAATCACCGTGTTGTACATAACTTAGTCAGGGGTTATCTGGTCCTAATATTTCTATCTCGTGTTTGCTTCATCTATCATCAGAATGTAACCACAGAAATGGAAGATGGGTTCCTGACAAGCGCAGACCACTCTACTCTGGTTTTGGCTGTAAACAGTGGCTTTCTGAGAGCTGGTCCTGCAGATTGACTCAGCGCACTGATTTTGATTACGAACAATTTAGATGGCAACCTGAAGCTTGTGATATGCCAGAGTTTGAGGCCTCTCAGTTCTTGATGAGGTACGTGCCCATAGCATGTCCGATATGAATATGGGGATGATAATATACTGCACCCTTGGCCTTATTATTATTATCACATTAAGGGGAACAATACTAATTTGGTTATGTTTCAGAATGCAGGGCAAAACCATTGCTTATGTGGGCGATTCTTTAGGGAGGCAGATGTTTCAGTCCATGATGTGTATGGCTACTGCTGGAGAAGAGCGGGCAGACGTGGAAGATGTCGGTGCGGAGTACGGGTTTGTCTTAGCACCAGGCGCAAAAAGACCAGATGGCTGGGCTTACCGGTTCCCGAGCACCAACACGACCATTCTATACCATTGGTCGTCGACGCTATGTGATCTGGAGCCTCTGAATCCATCAGATCCAGCCACCAGCTACGCCATGCACCTCGACCGCCCACCTGCTTTCGTGCAGGACAACCTCCACAGGATCCACGTTCTGGTCCTCAACACCGGCCACCACTGGAACCGGGGCAAGCTAAGGGCAAACAAGTGGGAGATGTACGTCGGCGGATCCCCGAACCACAACAAGAACATCGCCGCCATCTGGAAGGCCAAGAACTTCACCATCCACAGCGTCATCAAGTGGCTGGACGCGCAGCTCCCCCGCCACCCCCACCTGAAGGCCTTCTACCGATCCATATCGCCCCGGCATTTCTTCAACGGGGACTGGGACACCGGCGGCAGCTGTGACAGCACGAGCCCTCTGGCCAAGGGCAGCGGGATCTCCCAGAACCGCTCCGAGGATGCCGACGCCGAGGGCGCGGTGATGGGGACCAGGGTCAGGCTGCTGGATGTCACCGCTCTGTCGCGCCTGAGGGACGAAGGGCACATATCACGGTACAGCATCAAGGCCACACAGGGGATCCAGGACTGCCTGCACTGGTGCCTCCCCGGCGTGCCGGACACGTGGAACGAGATCCTCGCGGCCCAGTTGTTATAGTCTGTATGTAGTTGGATGGAAAATGAGCTAATTGTTGCTGATCAACTTAGTCCATGTTATGATATGTATACGGGGATTATTGCTGGTATTTACTGCAGAGCTTCTATGGTGGGGATACATGGAAACAGCAGGAAGCAAGCAGCAAGGGGTTCTTTCTGTAATGTAACTTGTGGTACTCATGCCACTTGTCTCCTACAGTACCTAGGAAATGCGTTACTGAGTAGGTAACTACTACTCCCTCTGTCCCTAATATAAGAGCGTTTTTTACATTAGTGTACTGTCGAAAATGTTTTTATATTATGTGACGGAGGGAGTATTAACTCTCAAGCACCAGTGCTAAACAACCTGCCAGTTAAATTGTCCTAGTCCACTCAAATCATATACTCGTTCTTTTGAACTTCTTCAGAGGAGAAAGGAAAATTATTTCTTTGCATCTTTTCTTTTGTGAGGCATAATATATGGTTTCAGGGGGAGAAATATAGACATGAGATGTGCTTGTGGGCTCGGCTTTTGAGCATGTGCAAATTGCTAACAAATTGTTGTTTTATCATTTTTATACAGGTCGCATATGGGTGTATTTAAGTTTCAAATTTTACGCGTGCATACCTGTTCATGTTGTCATTTTCCTAAGTTTGTTTTCAGGTCGCATACATATGGTCATAACATGGTTTGAATAAAATCAATTCAAATTTGTGATGAAAATACTTGCCCGATGGAAACTGAGCCGAACAAACCTATAACTCCTCAATTTTTTTTGAGGCGTTAACTTCCAAAATATTTCTTTTTTCCCTCGAAAATGAGAAAGCTATACAACTTCTGGACGTGGAGTTTCTACACCCAAGAGCAAATGCTCCTGGTGTGAACAGTAATATCAAATAAATTCAAAAATATTTCAAAAAATTCTGAAATTTTTCTGTGACATACTTTCACAAATGTTAGTCGTGCATGCAAAATTTCATCGCAAAATCACATTGGTGGAAGGCGTGGTAAAAAAACAAAATCGATGCTCTGAAAATGTTACTTACAAAAGCATTTTGAAGCTTTGATTTTGTTTTTTTACACGACTTGCACCAATGTGATTTCGTGATGAAATTTTGCATGCACGACAAACATTTGTTAAAGTATGTCCCCAAAAAATTTCAGATTTTTTTGGTTATACTGTTCACACCAGGAGCATTTGCTCCTAGGTGTAGAAACGTACTTTCGACAACTTCTCAAATCCCAAGCTAGTTCTTCTCGTTGGAAAAATGAACTGAACCGCCGGCGCGGCCAATTGACATTTGGCGGCAGCAATTTGGGGCTCCGCCCGTGTCGCCTCGAGAGGACGATGCGGAGGAAGGAGAGCCGGTTTTCACTCCCGTCATATTCTTTCTATTGTAATGCAAAAATGAGAGAAATGAACACTAATACCTCTTTGTTCCTTTATTGATGTGTTTTTCTTTTCCGGAGAAGCCACACCATAGAAGCCCTTGTATACAAGTCCCCGGCACGAGTAGTTCCGAAACACAAACCCGAGAAAAGGAACGTGTGAAACCAGTCCCCGGAGGATTAATCCCAATAGACCATGTTTAATTGATTCTCAACACTCCCCCTAATGCTGCCTACAGGCCGGTCCATACATATGCGGGGCCCTGGGGCGAGACGACAAACTGGGGCCCTTGTGGGCAGATAAAAATTCAGAATATATTGTATTTCAAAAGCATTTGCATAATTCAATATCATTCAATAATTCAAGTCTTTTGAGCTAATTAAGAAGCCAAATATACTTCTGAACACTTTTAAATTCTTCGAAGAACTACTATTTGTATAAAAATGTCAATTGAACCTTTATGGGATTCTACCAGGTCATCTCTCAGGTTTTTTTACTTCCTTTTCTCACTTATAAACATTTTTTAGAAGACATGTAACCAAATAATGAAATAATTGTAGAAAAACAGTCAATACAGGGAACAAAAACACCTGAATATGGGCATATGGCTTGATGTCGAATTGTCAAAGCAGCTTCCCAGATCTGCAAGGCTGCAACACTCATTCCCCATCCCCCCTTCTCATCCCTGGATCCAATGAAGCTTTGAAGAACAGGCCAGCAGAAGAGCAGGAACTAGGAAGAGAAGAATTGGAGATGTCAGATGGAGCAATCAGAGGCGGAGAGGCGGGCTATTTAACAGCAAATGAAAAGAGTACTTGATTAGGCGAAGGAGGGAGACTTACCATCTCTGATGCGGTGATGCCTCAAACGTCTACTTGATGGGGAACATTGAGGATGCAAACATAGATGATTGGGGGAAGGGAATAGCACCATCGGTCTCCATTAATGGAAACACGGGAGCGGCACATCGAATTTGGAAGTGCATGGGAGCGGCGGCGCTGTTCTCTAAGATTGGAGAATTCGGGGAAGGAGCCGAGGCGGCGAGGAGACTGGAGGAGATCGATGGAGTGCTCCAGCAGCGTATCAAACTAGCGACCGATTATTTCGGTCCGTGAGTGCTAGCTATGTGGTGGGCTTGGGCTTTCTTTTATTTCCTCTTAATTTTTTCTAGACCTAAGAGCATCTTCAACAGCCGCGCTATAGCGCCGCGCGCAAAAAACCCGTTAGTGCGCGCGCTGCGGCTGGTTTTGCGCGTCCGCCTGCGCTGGCTCCAGCAGCGGCGCTATAATGCAGCGCGCGCGCGCCGCTCCAGCAGGGCGCAAAAATACAGCGCGCGCGCCGCATAAACCACATGTACATTTGAAAGAAGATGAGCAAAAATGATCAAACAAACAAAATAAAAATCAATAACAAATAGTTTAAAATAAATCATTACAACACAAACAAATAGTTTATCGTTCAGTACAACAACAAATAGTTCAAAATAAATTGTTACAACACAACAAATAGTTCATGAAGTTCTTGCTCTTTGCCGTCCATGCCATGCCCACCATTCTTCAATTAGATCATTCTGAAGTTCATTGTGCGTTGCGGGACGCCGAATGGCATGATAGGAGGCAACAAAACGGGCTACCCTTTCAGCCCTCCGCCGCACTCGCACGGAATGTCCCAAGAGCTCATACTGTGAGTAGTCTAAATCTTGGCCACGCTCATTCTCGATGATCATGTTGTGCATGATCACACAAGCGTGCATGATGTACCAAAGCATTTGTTGATCCCAAAATCTTGCCGGTCCTCTCACAATAGCAAATTGGGCTTGCAAAATCCCAAATGCTCTCTCCACATCTTTTCTAGCCGCCGTCTGAGCATTGTGGAAATCAAGATTTTTCTTACCTTCCGGTTTTTTCAACGGCTTCACGAAGGTTTGCCACTTTGGATAGATGCCATCCGCTAGATAATAGCCATAGTTGTACGTACGGCCATTTGTTACAAACTGCACAGGTGGCAACTCACCGTTTGCAATCTTATTCATCAGTGGTGACCGGTTGAGTGTTGGAAATATGAACGATTTACCGAATGATTTTATTAACAGAAATAGTAGATAAAACATGACTAAAATAGCAAATATACAGCAAGTCATGCAATCTGACAGAGAGAAGGTAAACATCGTCCGCATATATGAACTTGAGGTAAACACATCTAGAACAGTCACTAGATGAAGTTGCTTATACGACATAGAGCCTAACATACGTAGGACAGAAACTAGAGCCAAGAACCGTAACAGGACTTCTAACAGAAAGGAGAAGAACACGTACGGCACGGCAGCAGCAGAAGCGCTGGACTTGGGGTCGGTGTCCTCGCCTGCCATGTCGTCGAGGAGGTCATGGACGTCGGGGAAGAAGTTGTCGTCGGGGAAGTAGTCGTCGGCGACCGGATCGTCCGTGATGAAGCAGCCAGTAGTCACGCAGAGTGCTCCCCAAAAACCTTATCACCCTTCTCCCGTACAGGACTCAAAGAGGGCGGTTTCGGAGGCCTACTGTCCCGACCTGCGGTGCACGCCGCAAGCCGGGATGGAGAAGATCGTAGTAGCAGCGCAGTGCTCGGGAACCGGTGGCGAGAGGAAGAAGTAGTTCTGGTGCGTCTTGCTGAGAGGAGCGACCTTCCTTTTATAGGCGCAAGAGAAGGAGGCGAGAGGGCAGCGCCGTGAGCTGAAGGGACCGAGGGAGATGAAACGAACAGACAGCAGCCGAAGGGTGCAACTTTCGCATTTAATCTCCACTACAGCAAAAACTTTCCATCTCCCGAGTGACCTTTCGTATACCCGTAGTGCGTGGCAAAAATTTAGACATCGGCTCGGCTCATTCCCGCAACCCGCAACCCGCGGCGCGGCGCGTCGTGACGAGGCGTGGCGAGGCGGGCGGCGGAGGAGGAGCGCGCGTGGATGTCCCTCTTGTTCTCATGCTCATACAAGTGGGGAAGGAGCCTTCCTTATAAAGAGGTCCAACTCCCTCTAAACTAGCAATGTGGGACTAAACTTTAGTTCCACCTCTTGCCTTGCACAAATGGGCTGTATGGGCCTCTAGGATTTATTAGGAATTTCTGAAACTGCTACTGGGCTAGGCCCAAAATGGACAAAATTCCAGCAATCCCCCACCAGATCCCAGAGGCACACAAAATTTGCCTTTGGTTCCAAAACACTGTTTTATATACCGGTACTGCAGTGGAGACTGTTAAGTTGAACTTCCACCTAGAACTCTATGCTACACTAGTAAGCAACTTGAACAGTGGACTGGGCCTTGAACTGCAAGTTTTCTGCGAATCTAGCTTCACATAAAGCCTTGACCGATACGTGGCTACCGTGGATCTTCCCCGCGGGTGGAGCTTATGCGTCATACTCCGTGACCTTTCATGAGTTTACTAGAGAGAATCCTACTCTCATAGATTGCGACGTTTGACAATCAGACTCATATAGGTGTGTTCTTCAAAAGATGTTCTGCAGGACAACATCTCTGCTTCAAAGAGCCACTTAGAACACATTAAGATATACATCAACCTGCCATGCAGATTAGGAGAGTATTGCATCTTCATGGAGTGGTATTTTAATAGTAAAGATACTCTCCTCCCAGTTGAC